CCCCAAAACCCCAAAACCCCAAAACCCCAAAACCCCAAAACCCCTATGCAATATTTTATAATTGTAAATTTTAAATTAAATCAAAAGTTGAGAATGGACAGAAGAAAGCCAATGTCTCACAGAAGGGAAGTGTCCCAAGGCAACAAACCAAACTGCTTAAGTAATGATTCGCGTAGGCCAACCCACAGAAAATCAGCTGCCCGTAACTCAATGAATTGGCCTACTAGCAGGCATTGTGCTGAGACTTTTCGGAAATAATAACCCTAAGGAATTGAATACTCTTAGAACGAGTCGGAAATATAGGGTCAATGCCATCCCTACTGGGACGATCAACCTTGGTGCCAAGATTAGCGGCCTGAATTTAAAGCCGAAGGTTGTCGCTGATGCCAAGATCTTCAAGATCAAAGATAATAGTAATTCAAGTATTAGGAAGAGCTATGATAACACAAATAAAAATTCTTCGTTGAGGAACCTAAACACTATTAACTCAAAGAAATCCATGAGGTCCCAGCACAGAAGGAGGAGAAAGTCCAAGGGTGATGACTTTTCAATCCAGGATAAGAGAAAGCGTGATTCTAGGCTGTATAAGAAGGGTTTTGGAGGTCCAGCTATCAAGCTCAATTTAAACAACACTGGAGTATCCTTGAACCCTAATGCTTTGAAGAACTTTAAGCTACCTATCTGTGATATTCCGTTGAGTAACAAGGCTAAAATAGTGAATGATAGCTTAATGAATTCTATCAATTATAAACCGGTTGAGCTAGGCTCTACCAACTTCAACATCCACAACACTGTTGAGACTGTCAGAGGGACGAGTCGCAAGAACAAGGGTAAGATCATGTACTCCTCCAGGATTAAGGAGGATTCCAAGATGATGAATAGTGCTAGAGTAGGCAAACAAATCAGGCTCAAGAAAAACCTTAAAAGATTTAGCAACAACAATCGTTACAAAGTGACCCTTCCGAATGGAGAAGAGGAGTATAAAGCCAAGAGTCATTCCAGGAATCGCTCAAAGCGCAAGGAAGGGAATGTAAATACCTCCCTTGTGGTTAACCGAACCAATGTGAAGAACAACTTCTTTAAGAATGATGAAAAGAGCCTTCCTCAAACCAGTAGGGTTCAGGGCCACAGGAATGGCAAGAGCAAGCTACTGAATTCTTTAGAGGTCAAACCTTCCACACAAAAGGCTAGCGAAGGCGGGATGAGGGTCAAGCAATTTACTACTAAGGAGTCTAGAAAGGAAGTTGAGATCACTGATAATAACTTAACTGAGTCAAAATCTGAAGCTAAGACAAGTAGGCAGAAGAAGCCGGTTTTGAAGACTATTGACTCATCACCAGTGAAGAAAACTATTAATATCAATGCAACTAATGACTTGAAGAAGACCTTGCAGCAATTGAAATCATGCAGGTCTCCTAATTCTACTGCTTTTACTAATCCTCAAGCTCCAAAAACTGTCCAGTCTGAGAAGCCAGAGTTTCCACTTGGCCCAGGAAAGGCACTGAAATTATTCATGAACAGCATGAGTGATTATGAAAAGGGTGAAATTCTAGACTATCGTCAGGTGTATTTCTTAGGACTTGAGAGCAAGAAAATTAAAGCTACACCTAAGCTCAAGCCCAACTATGGATATGATAACGATAAGGGTGACTATAAGACCGTATTACGGGACCATATAGCTTACAGGTACGAAGTCCTAGAATTCCTAGGAAAAGGAAGCTTTGGTCAAGCCCTCAAATGATTCGATCACAAGACTAGTGAATATGTATGCCTGAAAATCATCAGGAATCAGGAGAAATTCCAATACCAAGCAAGCGTGGAAGTAAAAGTCCTGCAACACATCAAGGACTGTGACCCTGAGGACACAACTAACTGTATTAAGATGAAAGACTACTTTGTCTTCAGGTCTCATGTCTGACTTGTATTTGAACTACTGAGTATGAACCTTTATGAGTTCATCAAAAATACTGATTTCAGAGGAGTCTCCATGGGGCTGATCCGAAGGTTTGCCATCCAGCTATTGCACTCATTGAAGTTTATCCAAGAGCAGGAGATTATACATTGAGATCTGAAGCCGGAGAACATATTGCTCAAGACACCTACCAAATCAGGAATAAAAATTATTGATTTTGGAAGTAGTTGTTTCATGGACGAGATTGTTTACACTTACATCCAATCCAGGTTTTATCGAGCTCCTGAGATAATGCTCGGGATTCCTTATAATGCAGCAATCGATATGTGGAGCTTCGGGTGTATTATTGCAGAGCTTTACTGAGGCCTCCCACTTTTTCCAGGTGAGAGTGAGAGAGAGCAAATGAGCTTGCTCATCGAGATCCTAGATGTTCCAAATGATGTAGTCATTGCCAAGTCTCCCTATAAGCACAAGTTCTTTGATAAGCAAAATAAAGCATACATTATGGACGATATTAAAGGTGAAAAGAAAATTCCTGCTTCAAAACCTCTCGCTTTGATGATAGAGTGAGAAGATGAACACTTTTTAGATTTCGTAGAAAGATGACTAGATTGGGACCCAGAGACAAGGATGACCCCAGATGAGGCTCTTCGCCATATCTGGATTCTAGAAGGATTGCCACAGAATGTCCTCTACCATCACTGAAAGATGTATGATATCCCTGATGATGTAGTAAGTCCTTATATTTAACCGCTTCTAGATTCCAGACTACCTGCTACAAGATAGCCCAAAACGGAAGGTGAAGAAGAGGCGGACTAAAAGGTACTCAGCTAAGCACCTTTCAATGACTGAAATCTTATCGAATTCATGCTTATCGGAGAACAAGGTCTCTTTATAGTCCAACCAAACTCCTAAGAATTGTCTATGTTTTCCTAATAAAGCAAGTTCAATAAATATTCCTCAGATTGGGGTTTTGGGGTTTTGGGGTTTTGGGGTTTTGGGG